ACTAAATGGCCCACAAATGCGGTGACAGTATCTCCGCACTGGTCTCTAATGTCTTGAGATATATCCCCCACTTTTGACGACTTCAGTAGCGATGGAACCGAAATCCTTTGCGACAAACAATTTATTGTTTAAATGGCAGTTAAGAAGTGGTGTTATTTAAGACTCACTTAAACAGTACATCGAATTTGGTCTCAAAAGTGATTTCCCTCAAGAATGTCGATTCAAACCCGGATCCAGAGTCCAGACTAGCGATGGTTAGCCGCGACTCGTGTCTCAATCGGTCATAAGAATCGATAGTCACGTCCCACAAGACATTATGATAACCGCTACCATCGATGAACACGACCGGGAAGTACGACAAGTAATATCCAAGCGGTTGATTCAAGTCTTCAGTCATCGATACACCCTCTAAGTCCCACTTAGAGGTGGCTTTGGATCATAAAAACACCACTCAGTCAGCAAATTGTCTCAAAACAAGTATTGAAACCAAATTTGAAACCAAAATCTACTCACAAATAGATAGCAAAGTGTTGCGAAACATATGATAATAACCAGATTTGTCGCTAATTTTACGGCTCTTTAAGAGATGGCAAACAAATAGAGACAAACAGAACCCAAACTCCCGGTCCAGACGTCGCTGTTTTAACCACACCTTCAGAAGTATCAAAGAGTCCCTCAGAGGCGCCCACTGTTTGACCGCTTCGGCCACCACTTCATGATTGGACACCAGATTCAAGTCGTGTTGAATGGAAGCGTTATAGACAGGGGTCGGCACCTCTTGACTGTCGTCCCCATCACTGTCACCATCAGCTGTTTGGCCGGTCATCGGTTGCCACCAATTGCTGCGAATATTATTCTTCTCGGGTATAAATCGGATCCAACGGAAGGCCTTCCCATCGGATTCGGGGTAAGCCGTGAGAGACACTCGGAATCGTTTGGCTAATCGTTGATCACTGGGCGCTATTACCACAACTGGTCTCATATGGTGTCCATTAATGTACTGAAACTTTGCCGAACCAATCAGTGGTGATGTCTTCAGCGATTGCAAGATATGACACAAATAAAGGGCGCGCTTTCGATGGTATCTGTGGTTCAGACAGTCTTGTCTTTGCCAACACTTCGCCGGCATCTCAATCGCCATATCTATGAGCACTTCCGGCGCCCGAAGACTTGTTCCCAACGCATAGCCACCGATAATATGGCAGACACTCGGAGTCTGGAAGTGGTGATCACCGCTCACTGGAAATGGTTCCTGAATTATGGGTACTTTCGCTGACTTAAGCCACAGTTGATCCGTGAGATCACAAGATTTTTTGTCATTCTTGATGGCCATCACGACTATCTGGAACTCCTGAAGCCATCCGTCTATCTGTGGTTTGTGTTTGTCTTTCAGTCGTACTTCGGCTAACAGTTCCCGGTATTCAAGCGCTTCCGAGGTTTCAATCGGTGCGGAGATCTGTTGGACATCACTGACCGGTGGAGCCATTGCTGCTGAGGATGATTATCGACTGGTGGACACGATATGATCAATAGTTTTTCGGTGATAATCGTGGATCAGATGACAATATCATTGAAATAGTCTTCAACTGTAAAAGTGTTGTAAACATTGAATGCAAACACATGTGAAACACATGTCTCTGTCTTTTAAATAAATTTCTGTACTTTTTTACATAACGTCTACCATAGAGTACACGTATAGAAAGGGTCAGTCATTACACTGCAAATGTAGTGCCAAACATAAACAACACGTGACCATTGGTTACATGCTTTCAAACATTTGGTGCATTGCATAGTAGATTGACACCTAAATGATCTTGCTCATTCTTATTGTCTATATTCTAAAACTATTATCTCATCGCACCAGAGGAATGGCTACAACGAGTAGTCATACAAATGAGATCTACGATAACGACTCGATGGACCGATTCGGTGATGATTTGTGTCCAATATATCAATTGAATAGACATTTATTTTATTCACAAATATTACACACAATTAGTTCACAAACTCAATGATAATTAGCTAACATTTGGTGACAAACAGGTCTACCCATTAGAGTAATGGACGAACAGTCTGTTATCTCGGCTAAAACATAATCTCCCGGTGCTATTGACTTCATTACCCCACTATCACCAACAGGAATGTCCACTTTAGGCACAATCACCTTCAGGTTCGCCTCATTCCTGCCATAGTATTCTTCATCCGACTTCTTGGACACGTCCTCCACTAGAATGAGCTGTCGTTCCCCAACGGAACGCCTATTCATATCGAAAGCTATTTCTCGATACAAAGCATTCAATTCATTGAGTCTCTGAACCTTCACTTCTTGCGGCACATCATCGGTGAGGGTATGGAAGGCGTGAGTCTTTGCTCTCATACTGTAGGCGAAGGTGTAGGCGCTCTGATAGCCCACCCGTCGTACTATATCTACCGTTTCCTGGTGTTCATCATCCGTTTCCCCACAAAACCCACAAATAAAATCACTACTGAGTGCACAGTTAGGTATGATATCCCGGATCCTATCCACCAGTGATAGGTAGGCCTCCCGAGTATAGCCCCTCCGCATACGGGTCAACACACTATTACTGCCCGACTGGACGGGTAGGTGAATACAGTTGGCTATATTCGGGTGCTTTTGGATGACTCGGAGGGCCCTTTCATCGAAGTCTTTAGGATGCGGTGAAGTGAAACGGATCCGGAGGTTGGGGTCAACGCTGGCCACGGCGTCCAGCAGTACATCGAAGGTAAGGCCACCCGAACGGCGCTTATATATAGTCTTAAAGCCGGGCACTAATGAGATACCGGTGCCAGTGGTGTCACTGGAAGTGGATTCCGCACTCTTATCGCGATAACTGTTGACGTTTTGACCCAAAAGTGTCACTTCTTTGACCCCCAATTCGGACAGTTGTTTCACTTCTGACACAATCGACTCGAGAGATCGTGACCTCTCGCGACCCCTCGTGAAGGGAACGATACAATAGGAGCACATGTTGTCACAGCCCCTCATAATAGACACGAAGGCCGTGACCGCCGACCTCTGGACCGACGGCTGAATGTCTGAATAGGTCTCGTCTAACGAGAGTAAGACATTGACGGCGTTCTGAGCACTGGATCTGTTGATGGCTAAGAGTTTGGGTAAATCGCGATAACTGTCGGGACCGGCGATCACGTCAATCGACGGCTGCTTCTGAAGCACTGATGACTTGAGGCGTTCGGCAACACATCCCAAGAGTCCGATTTGTCTGATCCGACCCGAGCTCTTCAGTTGCGATAACTCTTTGAGTTTAGCCCACACTTTGGACTCTGCGTTCTCACGGATGGCACACGTCATCAGCATTACTATCGATGCCTTAAGACAAGGAAGAAGACAATTGAAGAGATTATGGATTAGTTTTTATGGTTTCAACTTCAAAGCAATCTTTGGCTGATATGAAGTCATACTTTGTTGATGTCGTCGACGATATCATATCCGGAGTTCTTGAGAATCGTTGTCGCGATTTGGGTGTCGTTTACATTCATCTGACAGCCATAGGTTCGGATGAATACTAAGATATACCACAAGAAGTTCAATGATAACGAGTCGCATATTGATGGTGTAAAACAAGACATACCTTTAGCTCCCTGTCCATCCAACACATGCTCATCGATGTAAGGTATGGGCGAACTTCTGGACACCACAAAGGGTTCGGATCTAATTGGATCCGATTCTTGTGATTGTCTTATAAAGTGTTGCAAATCGGGACCACTTTTCGGGAACCGGGAATCGATTGTCTTGATCTGAGTCGCCGCTGTCGATGAAGCGGTCGCCGAAGATAACCTGGTGGACAGATGGCTCACGAGTGGACAGACCTGGAGGTGATGTCGGTGTGTGACCACCAATTGTCTCAACAAATGACATCTTCTATACATATTTAAGACTCAAACAAACTTTGAGTGAAAACGGGATTTGTTTACAAACAGAGCGCTAAACCCAGTGATTGCCACCTATTGGCTGCAGTTGTGGTGATAAACCATTGACTGAATGCACACATTGTATGACTCAATGCTTGCCATAAGTTAGACAATAGTTTGATTACCACTGAATGTATCACTGATACAAATCACTCACCAAATTAACCACTTTTTTGATATCTCAAGAAAGTACCATTCATTTGATCCCATAATCACAAGTGGTCACAGAATACCTTCAGAAACTACATCCGGTTTTTCGTAGACACCGACAGGCGTTAAGAAGTTGAGGAATGAGTGCTAAGCGATCACAACCCGATTGGTCGCCACCGGCGGACGCGCCGAAGACCGCGAAGAATAAGCTCTTTCTGTACAACTCGTTGACTCGATCTAAGTGCGAGTTCCGGGCCATCGATGAGCGCCGCATAACGTGGTATAACTGCGGGCCCACTGTCTATGACTCCGCACATATGGGACACGCGAGGAGTTATATCTCCTTCGATATCATCCGCAGAGTCCTCCAGAAGTACTTCCGGTTCGATGTATTCTTCGTCCAGAACGTCACTGACATCGACGATAAGATCATCCAAAGAGCGCGTCAGAGGTATCTCTTCGGACAGTACTGTCAACGCATTGGTGACCAGAATAGGGATCAACTCGTGGCTGACGTCCGACAGGCTATCGGCGAAGTGGAGACCAAAATGGCGACCGAAGCGGACGTCGACAAGAAGCAGATGTGGACTAAACTAACTGTCAACGCATTGGTGACCAGAATAGGGATCAACTCGTGGCTGACGTCCGACAGGCTATCGGCGAAGTGGAGACCAAAATGGCGACCGAAGCGGACGTCGACAAGAAGCAGATGTGGACTAAACTCATCGCTTCAGCCAATGATAATCTGGAGGACAAAAACCTGAACGTAAAGACACTTCTGGAGCAGACCTGCATCAGTGATATACTATCGCAACGGTTGGATCGACTGCACGGACATGAAGTGACGGATCATTCAATCTTCGAGTCCCTGTCCAGACGTTTCGAGCGGGAGTACAACGAAGACATGTCTTCGCTCAACATCTTAGCGCCCGATTCGGTGACTCGAGTGTCAGAATTCATACCTGAGATCGTGGACTACATCCAGAAGATTGTGGCATTACCCATGCCGATACTTCGCTTGCCAAGGCACATAAAGCTATGCTGTGCTAAGCTACCTTTCCTAGTGGTGAAAATGCGGTTTAATCAAGGCCTTCGCAAGCCACTATTGTTCCGAAACCGACTTCGGGAGGGCGATCTGTCGGCGCCAACCCATACGTCCGATAAGCGCAGTGTCAATGACTTCGCGCTCTGGAAGCTCTCCAAACCGGGCGAACCCTATTGGCCCTCTCCGTGGGGGAACGGGAGGCCGGGCTGGCATATAGAGTGCTCGGCTATGGCCTCGTCGCTGATTGGCTGCCAAATGGACATACATTCGGGCGGTTATGACCTGAAGTTCCCGCATCACGACAACGAGTTGGCGCAGTCGGAGGCCTATTACGACACCGGGAAGCCGTGGGTCCAGTATTTCCTGCACTCCGGGCACCTGACCATCAGTGGCTGCAAAATGTCTAAATCGCTGAAGAACTTCATCACCATTAAGGAGGCGCTCCGGAGGAATACGTGGCGTCAGTTGAGGTTTGCTTTTCTGTTGCACTCCTGGAAGGAGACCCTCGACTACAGCGACAACACTATGGCTGATGCCATACAATACGAAAAGTTTGCCAACGTATGTCCACTTTGGATGCACTAACTGTCCATTACTTTTGAAATTTGCATTCATTTGTGATTTTTATGCGTTTTAGGAGTTTTTCCTGACTGTGAAAGACCTGATCCGTACCAGTAATGAGTCAGTGGTTAAGTGGCAGCAAAGGGAACGGGATTTGAATCAAAAGTACGGAATCTAATGTTAATAAGTATTATGGCTTTTGTCTAATAAATGATATTTTTGTCATTTAACAGATTCCAAGAGTCGATCGATTCAGTGGACAGCGCTTTATGTGATAACATCGACACCCGGACGGCGTGCGAACACATCCGCCGACTGATCGCCGCCACCAACACATACCTCCAGGACTGCCAGCCCTCCAGACCCGCAAATGTGGCGCTAATCAAAAACATAGCGCTTTATATAACCAATATATTCGACGTCTTCGGTGTGGGCTCTAAGACACAGACCATTGGATTCCCTCAGGAGAGCGCCGAAGGGGGCGATCGGGAGGCTATCGTAATGCCATTCCTCGAGATAATCGCCGACTTGAGAGAACGGTTCCGCGCGAAAGCCATGTCCTCGAAGGACACGGATTTGCTGAAGATTTGCGACCAATTAAGGGATGATATACTGCCAGAGGTTGGCGTACGGCTTGAGGACTACGAAGTGGGCGATGGGGTCACCAAAACGCGGCTCAAACTCGTCGATAAGGAACAGCTGATGAGGGAAAGGGAGGAAAAGCTGAGGCAACAGGAGATGAAGCGCTTGGAAAAGGAGAGAAAAGCGTTGGAAAGGCTGGAAATGGAGGCTAAGAAAGAGGCGGAGGCGCGGGTCTGTCCGCTCGAGATGTTCACCGCCGAGACGGACAAGTACTCGGCGTTCGACGCGAAGGGAATGCCTACTCATGACGTGGAGGGCAAAGAGTTGGCCAAATCGGCGCTCAAAAAGTTGGCGAAAGTATACACAACTCAAGAGAAAAGACATAATCCATGCGTTAAGTGTAAAGCCGTTTGACTTTCGGATCAGCTTTTAATCACATTTTAAATGATTGACTGAATATGTAATCAGAGATACAATGGATTTTGCGATCGAATTATTAATATTTATGAAAATTGTATTTTTAAATATATAAATATTTACAAATCGTTTTTCTGTTATTCATAATGAGCATACTTCTGAACTAATCTGTTACCTAAGCAGCTCTTTATTGTTAACTAAACTACTAATTTGCCTAATTTTCCAATAAAGAAAAAGTGTTCACATTTTTAACCCAAAACTTTGATATTGAATACATGAGCTGAAAATCAAATGTCATTTTGAAATCAATAAAAGTAATACTTATTATCATATGTTTCTGGAATTACTCTCATATTTATTGCTATTTCCTTACAAAATGGTATAAAAGCCTTTCAATCGTAAAAAACTTAAATTCAAAGTAAATATTAAATTAAATACCAATTAATGCTAAATTGAACGAAAAGACTAAAAATCAAATTTAAATCAATAATCAATCGCTGAATAAGACTCTAAATAATAGGAACACATAATAATAATAAACTAATTGTAATCATAAATCACTGAATAATTATCAAAAAATAATTATAAATTCAATTCTCATAACTAATGGCTAAATAAAAAATCCTAAATTCAAAAATAAAAATACAATTCATAAATTTATATATTTATAAATGTTTAGCAAAAAGACAATAAGTATTACTCGTATGAAGACTTGATTAGACAATGGATTCGTCGAGAAATAACAATTGATTTGATGATTAAACGGATTAAAAGGTTATTTTAAAAAGTGTTTACATTTTTAACCCAAAACTTTGATATTGAATACATGAGCTGAAAATCAAATGTCATTTTGAAATCAATAAAAGTAATACTTATTATCATGTTTCTGGAATTACTCTCATATTTATTGCTATTTCCTTACAAAATGGTATAAAAGCCTTTCAATCGTAAAAAAACTTAAACTCAAAGTAAATATTAAATTAAATACCAATTAATGCTAAATTGAACGAAAAGACTAAAAATCAAATTTAAATCAATAACTCAATCGCTGAATAGGACTCTAAATAATAGGAACACATAATAATAATAATAATAAACTAATTGTAATCATAAATCACTGAATAATTATCAAAAAATAATTATAAATTCAATTCTCATAACTAATGGCTAAATAAAAAATCCTAAATTCAAAAATAAAAATACAATTCATAATAATAATAATAAACTAATTGTAATCATAAATCACTGAATAATTATCAAAAAATAATTATAAATTCAATTCTCATAACTAATGGCTAAATAAAAAATCCTAAATTCAAAAATAAAAATACAATTCATTAAAAATAAGCAAACATTTGAAAAAAACAACTAATCTTTGGCCGCAGATGTGTGTCGTTTAGGCACAGAATACCTGTCCCGTTGGCGCCGACACTTGGGACAGTACCACTTGCCTTTGGGTTTGTGGGACAGTTGCACACATGGGAAGTGGAACCACTCGATGGCACAGTTCCTGTTATCACAGCATATCATCTCTCCATAGGACACCTGATCGCACAGGCAGTACGTAGGCTCATTCGGGTCGATGGGTTCGCCGATAAACAAGTCGTCCGCACCCGAGCCCCCGCTCGACGGATAGCCCACACCGGCGCCCGACTTATGGCCACTCGTATTGACGCGACTCTTCTTATGGTGATTACTATTATTGCTGTTATTGTTGTTATAACTATTGCCGCAACTGTTGGTCCGCTTCGACGTCACCGCCGATGACTCCTTCTTAACTGTCGACTGATTGGTGCCATTAGTGGCGGAACCGCTCGCGTTGTTGGCGACGGAGCTCTTCGGCGGTTCGTAGACGTCGTTATCGTAACTCATGGATGAGGTACTCGAAGAACTGGAACTTCTTGATGAACACATTGCGGAGGACTTCTGTTTGTGGACTCGTTTGTGGCGGCGCTGGACTTCAGCGCCATTTGTAGCGTTCAGTTGTCTGTTGGCAACTGATCCAGAATTGGACACAAATAAACGTTTACTACTATTAAGTGACTTTCGAGTGGACTTCTTAGCCGCCGATTGTCGCACAGATTGCGTTGACTTCTTGAGGCGATTATCACTTAATTTGGTCGCTATTTTAGAGGCGTTTGGGAGCTGTTTGATGGCACGTCTTCGGTGGACCTGTTTTCGGGCTAAATCTCTGATGAAGTTAGACATCGAGGAGTGACCGAAACCGTGGCTCTTATTGTACGCCGCCTTCGACGTCAATGACGAAGACTTTATTATCTTATTTGGCACCACTTTGGGCGACAAATATGGNAGTTCTTGCATTTGAACCAATTGTGTCTCCAATCTCTTCGCCAATCGGCGCCTCTTATTCATCAACTGATCCATCGCTTCGCTGGAGACGCCATTGCAGTCGCCATCGATGGCCACCACAGAGGCGGACATCGATGTCATGGCCACCACTTTCTCGTGTCTGTCGACTGTGGTGTTGATGGCGTCGATTACCTTCAAGTGATTGCTGTGGATGTCATGCAATTGCGTCAAATGTCTGGTGATATCATTGGGCAGATTGTCCACCAAATCCATGAAGGAGTGGATGTATTGGGCCATCGCCTGCGCCTCCGACGCGCTCACCGACCCGTTCGCCGCCGAAGTACTCATTGAGTCGATCGCTGAAAGACTTGTTATCTTAAGACAAGATATGATTATCACAAGCGATAGGCAATTGTGGCGGAGCTTGAGATCAGTTGATCCGCCACTGCTTCGGGTGGGGCAGTGATAGTGGTGTCGACCGTTTGGTCAGTGTTTAAGACATTCAATGATCACAATTCGATGATTGGATCTCATTTATAGCGATAGTCTTGGGATCAAATCGAGTGATGATTCAGTGATTGATGTTAACACTGAACTCACTGTTAATCATATGATTGTCGCTCACAAACACCAGTACTTCAGTTGTCATGTTATTTACGGAATATCTGTAGTATTGGCAACGCTATCACTATTGCATTCATAAACTATTTTATTGTCATATTTTTGCCCCCTTTTAGCCCATAAAAACATTTAAATGCATATTAAATACAAGTGACAATTTTTTCGTTAAAAACATGTAATTATAACACATTTTGAATACGTTAATAATAATTTCAATTAATTTATTCATTTGCTTGATCACCATGATCATTTATGTCACAAACTCCCCCAATACCCCCAAACCTTCACATTGAGTGTACCTCTTATATGAGTGGAGCTCGTGATGTGTATTTAAAATCTCGGTCTAAACTACACGTGTATTACATATCGTATATCAATAGCATTAGTGACCACACATTGGGTGAGCCATGAGTTTACAGACAATCACTTGTGTGGCGGTGTTGGCAGCGGTGGTGCAACTGATCGCCGGTGACTGCAAAGTCACTTCCAAGACCTACTCGACCACCGATGGACTGGTTATAGCCAAAGTCGCTCACATCATCCAATTCAGCGCACAGTGCGATAACAAACCCAAAGGTATGGCTCACCGCCGATGACTTATGCGGTGATAAATCACTTAACACTGGTGTGTATCATGTCTTGCCATCACTTCCAACAGGTCTATCACTGTACGCCGACCTCAACGGCCAGACACTGCCTGCCCTACGTTCAGATGATGGACCCAATGGACAGTCGTTATATCAGGTGATTGTCGACCAGTTTTACGGCTGATGACTGACCTAACTATCACTGCGTTAGATCTCGTGGACCGTGGACTTAGAGAAGGCCTCCTCAGGCTATCACTCGATCCCCATCTATGACGAGGAAGGGTTCGCAGCCCTCCGAAGAGGTCAGAGAGCGGGCGACTCGTCCGCCTCGAAGGCGTTGTTCACTATAGAGCTGAGCCACTCGTCCCCATACAAGGGGCCCGTCATTCAGACAGAACTCGTCGCCACTATCGCCGCACTCGGACTCTGGTGGACAGCCTATAGGGCTAAGAGTCGGCTCACTAGCTAAAGGGAACAGTAGTTTTGGTGAATTTGTGTGATTTTTTATGTATTAATCGCCCGAAAAGTGGTTTATTTTTGAAATTAGTTTTGAACTTAAGTTTAATAAAAAGTTTTCCTATTTTTGTGTCGTTTTCTGATTATTAAAGGTTTGATAATTGATTGACAAATAAATGTCTCTCGAAAGCGATTTATACTTCAAAATGTTTATACCGATGATAGCATTCATTTATTTACGGTAATATAAGATACTGGTGCTAATAATGAAGCTTGATACGGTAATAACTTACCGTATAACTAATAAGTAATACCTGGGTTAGGTAGTGATTGAAACACCATTAATAATAGATTATTGTTTTACCGGTAAATTGATGAAATACTCATAAGTAATTTATTTAATTCATATTACGGTATACCGGTAATTATTATAAATGACCCCTCCCATAATGTGCTAGATCTTATATAAATGATCTAGAATATTAGTACCGGTATTATAATTTTTCATAAACAATGATATTTAATTTGCTTTATCAGTGCTACAGTATATAGCGGTAAATATTTTTAGTTTAGTTTAAAGAATTTTTTGAAAGATTTTAAGTAAAACTTGCGCTAAAGTTAAATAAACAAAATAAGTTAATATTAGTTCATATAATTGATTTAATTTATTACTGCATCCGAGAAAAGGGTTTACTTTCAAAACAATCTTTATTTATGATTATGACTTCCAACTTAATAGTATTCATATAGTGTTCACATAAAAAATATTTTTAGCTCATATAAACTATAATTTATATAAATTGGCCCTGAACTGTTCGGGATATGCCTAATATCTATTATTAACACTAAACTCATTGGTTGCCCAACTTTTAAAGTAGAAATCTATAGAACTTTTATTTAAATCACAAAATTTTAGGCAGTTTTTTGAGGAACACCTCGAAAACTATAGTATATTGAGGCCTCATATAAGCAATATATGCCTGATATTTATGACTATATTGTGTACTCTATTGTCTTAAGCCGTTCAAGAATAGGGGACTGAGAGGCAGGGGATCTACACTTGAAGTCTATTGTACAGTATATGCAATCAATTGGCACCGACTCTCAACTATAGCTCCAGGAGTTTTGCTGACAGAGAAAAAGCAGAGACGCCTACTCTCTCTCTCTCTCTCTCTCTCTCTCTCTCTCCTGCCTTCCCTCTTAATCCCTATCCTCCTCTCACTCACTGGCAATGTTTGTGTCAATACTTACATCCAATTCTCACCACCAGTTCCCTCTCAATAGATTGTGGCTTAAGGTGTATGGGAAGGGAAAGGGAGAAACAATTTCATAGCGTACTGTATATAAAGGCGTTTGAATGCCTTAACCGCGCAATCAGTTCCCGAATGCCAGTCCCCATCACCGCCAGTGCCACAAAAAAATTCAATTATATATATATATTTGTGATGATATATACCAAAAGGGTTATAGAGTTAATGGGTAACTGAGTGCCAAATGTGCGATACGTTCCCTATAATGATATTTAGGCTTAAATTATATACAAATTGCAATCAATTATCAGTTAATAATAGCGAATGGTATGCGAAACCGACAGTCCATTCGGTGTCTGGTCTTCATTATCATCGGAACCGTTATATTCATCACAGCACTCATCGTATCCATCGCTAAACGTATGAATATTTTTCAATCAGTCATAAAAACTTTGATTTTATATCAAATACAAGTAATGTGTATGTATTGCATGTATGGGTGGTTTAGGGCCTACATCTCAATGTTCTAAATGATATGAACAGCTGAACAAACATTTTGTAAAGTTTTTAATGAGATATATAGAGAAGTTTTTAGATTGGAGACACAATTGGTTCAAATGCAAGAACTGTCGGACGAGAAGCTCCGGTACTCTCAGCTGATCATCGATTTGATCGAATCGAAGGCCAAAGAACTGGATTTGGATTACGAAGAGGTCGTGAGGTTCAGCAGTAATGGCCGCCAATTGGGAAGTCATAGTATTAATGGTAATCACAATAACACTACTAATGGTTATAATAAGTTGAGTGCAAACAACGGGTCCACACATTCCTCGACGGCCACCAATGGCGTCGACACTAAAGACAAGTCCAGTACTGCCGCTGAAGACAAGAGTCTGAATGATAAACGACTTCTTCCGCGCAGAGCCTGTGCTGTGAAAGTCGATACGAAAGACACGGCCGCCGATGACGAATCACCATATTTGTCGCCCAAAGTGGTGCCAAATAAGATAATAAAGTCTTCGTCATTGACGTCGAAGGCGGCGATGTTATTCTCGGTGCCAAAGCCAGTGAGGAGCTACAGATTGAAGTAGTCTCTAAATCGGGCTTTTGTCCAGGTGGCTTCTGCACGGTAGTTTGTCGAGGGTTTGCGGAGATTTTATCGCTGGTTTATAAGTGATAATCGCCTCAAGAAGTCAACGCAATCTGTGCGACAATCGGCGGCTAAGAAGTCCACTCGAAAGTCACTTAATAGTAGTAAACGTTTATTTGTGTCCAATTCTGGATCAGTTGCCAACAGACAACTGAACGCTACAAATGGCGCTGAAGTCCAGCGCCGCCACAAACGAGTCCACAAACAGAAGTCCTCCGCAATGTGTTCATCAAGAAGTTCCAGTTCTTCGAGTACCTCATCCATGAGTTACGATAACGACGTCTACGAACCGCCGAAGAGCTCCGTCGC